AGTCGAGCCGCGTGTCACCGCTCAGCATTAGGCTGTCGGTTTGCGGGAAGTTCCGAGAGTCGGACATTTCTGAGTACCGTCGACGACGACCTTGATATCGTCTCTTCTGTAATAAAGTAAACTTGTCGTCGACGCGCGACCGCGGAATTCTGTAGATTATGGCAACTCATGTATCGACGCGTATTGAATAAAGTGGAAACTCTTTGTTATTTTTCATATTAAGTTCTGTCTGATTATTTCTGTCTGTCTCTACCTCGTTCTCCGACATTGTTCCCCGCTTATCGCGAACCACCCCCTCTGCCAATTTCGTTGGCTGAGCTAGCTGAGCCTGTCCGTCGCGAATTCCGTTGCTCTGTAATTTCTTTGTCCGAGCGTAACATCTTAATATTTAGTGCGAAGAGTGGCACGCTCTCTCGTGCCTGGCGCCCAACGAAAACTAGTACGGCTCGAATATCGTAGCATATAAAATTTAAGGAAGAACCGCACTTTTGCTAATTACATGATTGTGTCCATCTTTTGAGCTATCGCATAAAAGAAGCAGCGGATGAAGTGACGAAGTTGTGCCGTTCCTCAAAAGTACGGTCACAATATATATATATATATACATGTATATATATATATGTTTTTACACACACACTTTATAATTTTTTTTTTAAACAAGTACTAATTGCCTACTTTTCGTAATAAGGAATAAATATGACAAAAGTTCAAATTATTTATTAAACAATTTCGTCTGTCAAATATTGTTTTGTATAATTATTTTTTGTTATTGCCATATAATATAGCGCTGTTTGGTTATTCTATCTTTATCATCCATTAGAAGTGAAACAAAGATAGTATAACAGCGATAATAGTGTGTTCCCCGAATACGGGCTATATGTGCCAGCATTGCCAGCCATCCAATCGGTGGGGAGGGGGGGGGCTCCTGGGCACGATCGTCGATTGGCACGAGCCATGAAGCACAATACGCAGGCCGCTGCTGGCGTTCGGGCTCTTCGGGACCCGCCGCTCGGGCCTGGTCGGGCCGGGCGCCGGCGCTTTGCAGTGTAGCTGTGTAATATGGCGGTCAATTTCTACGGTGATGCACGGTGGTGAATAGTGGTGCAGCAGCACGGTTTACTTAGACGTGATCTGGCCGTATCAACCTCTTATTTCATTGCTTGGAGGCGGGAGCCATTATTAAGGAAGAAGTGGTGCAGCAGTCTTCGAGAAATGGCAAATAAAAACAAGATGACTATAGTCACGAGGGCTACAAGAAAATGTAAGTATATATACTTTACATAAGTAACGTATGCGCTTATACGGAATGTACGAACGAGCTGGATCGAGATACCAACGAGAAGAAATTGCTTTTGAAATTGAAAGAGGCGTTGATATATAAATAAATTCCAATTTGCATAATAATACAAAATCGACTGTTATCGCTCGTCTCATATAGCGCTTTGAGATTCCTACTCGAGTGCTTCCCGAGGTCATCCTTGTTTGTAAACGCTAAGGATAGAATGATATTAGATGAGAACCTTGAACATATAGCCATGATATTTTCTCGCCGGTGTACCGATTTCGTATCTGGCTCGTAGACGAGGACTCGACATACGTTTTTCCAAACTGGACGGAATACATATTCCGTTACCATTCCTGGCAAAATTTTTATAATGTATATTGTAATTATTTTGTCATATAGATTTTAGTTTTTTAAATTTATGATTTCTAGCTATTTTTTAATTTGACTGAAGTTATTTGACTTATCTAAATATTGACTTATTTAATCCTTCATAGAATAGTAAAACTAAATAACAGTAATTAACAATTTTTTTTGTAAATAACAATACGTTCTGTTTAAAACCAAAGGAATAGACACGGAATAAATATTACGTGCCATTCCTGCGCAGTCAAGTCATCATTTACGAAAAAGTAAATGCCGCATACCCAGTGTTACGCGTGTTTGTACTTATTGTTGGGCCATGCCGCACTTTTTTTTGGTAAATAGCATTGGTTGCTTAGGAATGGCACATAATATTTATTCCGTGCCTATTTCATAATGGTTCTAAACAGAATGTATTGTTATTTATAAAGAAAATTGCTAATCACTATTATTACTTTTACTATTCTATGAAGGATTGAATAAGTCAATATTTTTAAGTAAAAGTATTATAAAATAGTGTAAAAGTTACATAAATGAAAACAAATTGTAAAATAACTTCAGTAAAATTAAAACATATTTTCAGATAAACACATTATTAATGTTAGAATATCATAAATTTAAAAAACTAAATTCTATATAACAAAACAATTACAACATACATTATAAAGTAATTTTATAATTTTAATTTGAAATAACAGATATATATACATATATATGTTATTTCAAATATATATGCAGTGTATATGTATATATATAACATATATAATGCTTCTTATCTGGTAGTTATTTCTATATAAAGATAATATTGAGATAATTACTATATAAATAAATGGTGATTACGAATTATAACAGAGAGATACCAGGCCACCAATCGCGTCAGAAAGTTGTCTTATTGGAAATATTCAAAATGTGAGACTTCACTTTACATTATACACAATTCATTTTTTGATATTTTTTTGATAGGCGGCATCGCCACGAATAATTTGAGCTAAAAAAAATTAAAATCAGTCAAGTCGTTCTGAACATATGAGCGGTCGAAAAGTGATGATTTTCATGAAAAATAAAGTAACGTCTCTTTCTTCTTCTTCTTCTCTATCCCCATTCAAGGCCGTATTATAACTTTGTTATAATTATGTATAATTATATATAAATTATATAATTATATAATACAAATAAATTCCTAATAATCCAGGGCAAGTGAGAGTTCAACGTGGTTGTTCGTACGTAGATAAAGTGAAACGGAGTTATAAAATCCTTTATTCACACATATTATTCATTCCTTTTTGGACGTTTTGACTAACAGACTTGATGTAATTTCTGCATAAAATAAATTAATGAAAATGTTATTACATAATTTAATCTATATGAATAATTAATTGCAGAAATTACATCAAGTCTGAATTTGTGACCTACTTACACAATAATATACAAGGATGAGTTTATTAAATTGATATGCTGAAGATGACTCAAATTGCAGTCGAAACGTCCAAAATTTGATGAAGGAATGAATAATATGTATGAATAAAGGATTTTATAACAACTCCGTTTCACTTTATCTATGTACCAACAACCACGTTGAACTCTCACTTGCCTGGATTATTAGGAATTTATTTGTATTTTGAATCAAGAGAGTCCGAAAGAAGATTTCATTTTTATTATATAATTTTATGTAACAATTTTTTTCCATGAAGTTATAAACTTTAAAGTAAAGAAAAAAATCAATTGACACAACTTAAATTTTTCCTATACTTTAGATTATGTTTCTTTCGTAAAATTTATCATAATAATTATATGAAATATAATACATGTATTTTTTGATATTTTAGCAAAAAGTGAATCCCCTCGTTGTACCCGTGAAAAGGAAAATTTAGCACCAATGTCATCATTAGTATCGCAAAAATCGCAACCGTTACAAGGTCAATCATTGACAGCAGCGACATCCACGGCATCCACGGTAGTGAGATCGACATCTGAGACACCGAAGACGACAGCCACGGTAGTGAGATCGACATCTAAGACACCGAAGACGACAGCCACGGTAGTGAGATCGACATCTGAGACACCGAAGACGACAGCCACGGTAGTGAGATCGACATCTGAGACACCGAAGACGACAGCCACGGTATCTACAGCACCGATGACAATAACGGCACAAGAAAACAACATGGCTGCTTCAAAATATGTTGCAATGCCAAATGCGTCGCAAGAAAATGTGACTGCGTATAGATATCCACAATGTACAGCCGCGCAGGCTTCTACATATAATTCAGATATTCAGGGTCCAGAAAATAATGCAGAATTTGGTAAGTTAATATTTTTTCTAATAAAGTAGCTTACAAAATTAAATTAGTTACATAAATGAAAAACTAAGTTAAAATTTATACTAAATTTAAATTAATTTGAAAAGTATTATCTATGTTACATTCATCACATATACACACACACATACACGCACACCCGCACGCGCGCGCACACACAAACACACACACACACACACGCACACACACACACAAATATATCAATTTTTTAAAATTAAATATTTTAAAATTATTACAATGTAATATTCTTTTAAAAGAACTATAATGTACACAAATAAAAATGTATTGCAAAGAAATATTGTTCTTTTTATGTAGGATTCTTTTTATGCATTTTTCTTTTATAATTTGTTTACATACATACATTTTTATGGTAGAGAAAATAAGTTATAGTTTATATACGTTGTGTAAATTAAATAAGTCATTTTAAATTAACGAAGTAAAAGTTAACTCTTGAACCTTACTTTTTTAGTTATTACCTCATTTTTGATAAAATTCTTGATAAAATATTACAGAATATATCTATGCACCTATTATGCATTCGTCGGCCACGCCACAATCTACACAGCCTACTCCTGGATTTGGTCATGAACATATAACAGGATACCGTGTACCTGAAAATTCTAATGTACCACTAAAAATAAGTAAAAGAAAAGAAAAATATAAAACACATAAATATTTTGCACGCGCGCGCAGAGAGATGTTTGTAATACTTTTGAAGCTTTTACGGGTATTATCTTCAATTATATCAGAAGGTTTGCAAGTTTTTTTTTTACAAATTTTACAATAAATTAAAAAATTTTTACGTCTGCAAAATTGATGTCCCATATTGTATACATGTACTCAGCAATTAAAGAATTACAATACTATTTTTCCGATGGATTTCAAAATGCTCATCGAGCAATTGGTTCTTATTTATGAATCTATAAAGAACCAATCGCAATAGAAGTTTATAACCTCTGGTATTCACATTTGAACATTATAAACATCTTCAATTATACTAGAAGGTTTATCGCCGTATCTATTCATTTATGTCAATGTTTTGTAAATCTTGCCGTTCTCTTTGTCACCGATACTGATACAGTATCAGTGCACCCCTCGCCCCAATGAAGTGTACGACAAGATTCACGAAACATTGGCATTACAAATGAATAAAGACACGGCGATAATCCGCAAATCTTCTAGTATAATTGAAGATGTTTATAATGTTCAAATACCAGGAGTTATAAACTTCTATTGCGAATGGTTCTTTATGGATTCATAAATAAGAACCAATTACTTGATGAACATTTTGAAATCCCGTCTTTGTAGCCCGTCTGATATATGAGGTATCCCAAAACAACCTCCCGTCCTCTAACAACAGATTCTTTGCAGCATTGTACAACGAAAATTGTATAATAGTATGTTAATGCTATAATATTTTTTAAATAAATAGTAATTAAAATTTGCTAATAATGGAGCTGATATTTAGTATGCTAAGACATGACGATATGAGTAGAAGGTCTCTACGAGGGCTTTCTCAGTAACTTCAAGATAATATTACATGTTGCAAAATAAATACATAACTAACATTATTACAAAAATATTTATTGTACAAACAAACATGATAATGAATTTATTTTGTAACATGTCTTTTCAATATGTAATATACTTCAACATTATGTGTACGTAATGTACATAGAATTAGTATAGAAGTAATAATAATTTATAAAAATATAACATTGCATAAATATTATAATCTTGAAGTTGCTGAAAGAGGATCCTCGTAAGGACTCTCTATCACTTATCATATCGTCATGCCTTAGTGCGCTAAATATCAGCTTCGTGATTAGCAAACTTTAATCGCTGTTTATTTAAAAACTATTATAGCACCGATATATTCGCATTTCGAATTTTTGTCGTAGAATGCTCCAAAGAATCCATTCTTGAGGAAGGGTAGTGGTTTTGGGACATCCTGTATACACATACGATAGCAATAATTTTTATATTTTCAGCAATTTAAAGCAGCTGTACGACGTGCCTATCAAAGAGGCCTGAAAAAAGACACAGCTTCAGAAAAAAAAACAGCGGAAAGAATTGCTCTGCAGGCTACGTCGGTTATAGGAAATACTTCGCCGGCCTTATTACAATATGCAGCAGCGCCACCTCCTATAGAGAATATTCAGGCTCGAGAGTGCATTTATGTACAAAATCCTCCACTAGTGGCGCTACAATATTCCACGCCTGCCATAGGATATGCGTCTGCTGTAGGACGTAGGCCTCTATCTGCTACGTCACAATTTGCAGCCGCACCTGCTATAGGATATATGTCTGCTGCAGGATGTACACCTCTGCCTGCCACGCCACAATATGCAACCGTGCCTGCTATAGGATATACGCCTCCGCCTGCCACGCCACAATATGCAGCCGTACCTGCTATAGGATATACGCCTCCGCCTGTCACACCACAATATACGGCCGCGCCACTTGTTCCACAGTATATTCCTAACCACACTTCGATTCAAGACTATCCTCCTCCACCAGCCACACCACAGTACGCAGTACGCCTGCTCTAAAGTCTATTCTACAATGACCGTAAGCCGTATAAATTGAGCAATCGTAATCGATTATTCTCCTCATATTCGATTACGATTGGAAAATTTTTATGGTTTACGATCATTGCAGAATAGGGTTAATACAGAACCCATGGAGCGGTTCGTGCGTAAGCGGATCAGCGGATCGCCAATCACAGAATCGTTCTGTTAGATTTGTTTACAAATTTTGCAAGCAAATCTAACAGAACATTCTGTGATTGGCGATCAGCTGATCCGCTTACGCACGAACCGCTCCATGGGACATTACCCTATGGTTACCGACGTAAGAATTAGCCAATCACAGTTGAGAATTCTTTTGAACTCTGGCTGATTCTTACGGTACGTCTTATGATTACTGCTACGGAAGAGAGTCCTTACAAGGATCTTCTTTCAGCAACTTGAAGATTATAATACGCAATGTTATTTTTAGAAATTTTTATTACTTTTATACTAATTCTATGTACTGTTACTGTGTGTGAGCGTCGCCTCCTTTAGGATATTACAATCAGTATTCGTAATAAATATAATGGGTGCAAACACAGTATGAATAATACTATTGGTAAGGTAAAATAAAAATAGTATTTTTCTTAAACGTAACTTGTTACTACTACATTACTCGTTATAAATGATTGGCTTCTTATATCTGATATACATATAATATGTAATGTATCTCATTACTAAATTGTTATTATATCAATGGGTGCAACTCAGTACTACAACCGCTTAGTGAGCTCTTACGTCTGACTAGCATATTCAGTTTCTAAAAATATAGGCCAAATAACAATAAATATAAGCCAAATAGATACAAGAGCTCAGTGAGCGATCGTAGTACTGAATGCAACCATTGAGTATAATTACGATTTAATAATGACACATTACATATTATATGTCAGATATAAGGAGCCACTGTAACGTCAAAATAACAAGTAACGTAATGGTAACGAGTTATTTGTAAAAAAAATTGCCAATAGTATCACTTACACTGTATTTGTAACAACAGGACTTCTTTGTGTTTATAGTAACAGGATTTTTTTTTGTCTATGTATTACAATGTAATAAAAATGCGTTCATAATCCAAGGTAAAACGAGTATTCTTTAAAATTACCTCTTCAACATTTACACAAAAAATTATTAACATTCCTCTTATTTTGCAATATAATTGATGCTAAGTCAACATAGACATCGTTCTATCTTTCTTGACATTTACAGAGTGATACAGATAGAACGATGCCTATGTTATCAAATAGAAAGCACCCAACAGGCCTATCCTTTTTCTCAGCACTGTGCCTACAGTGCAATAAGTTGAAGCAATACGTTTGTTTCATTTCAAATTATTGCACTATGTACATCAGTTCAAAGCTAAGAAAATCGGAGAAAAAAATGAAAAATATTCACTTATTTCAGCTCTTATAACAGCTGTCACCTAAAATTATAATTTACTTATTGTAGAAATTCTGTAGGTCGTACATACAAAATGATACCCTCGCGCCAAGCGTATGACGTGCACAAACAATCCTGAGCCTGTGAAATTGTCATCTAAGGTCTAACAAAAAAGATAATCCAAAATATCTGTTCATGTGTAATCGTTTCGCTAGCAGAAACAGAACTTATGTCTCTCTCTCTTTCGTCTGTTACTTTTCTCTCTCAAGTTCCTACGCCATCTACCGCAATACCTGTGACATACTTGGTACACAATTCTCGTGCTGTTTACCATTGTTTATCTGTGCCAGCGAAACGATTATACGTGAAACAAACATTTTGGATTTTCTCTTTTGTTAGACCTTAGATGACAATTTCACAAGCTCAGGATTGTTTGTGCACGTCATATGCTTGGCGCGAAGGTATCATTTGGTATGTACGACCTACAGAATTTCTACAATAAGTAAATTATAACCTCAAGTGACAGCTGTGAGAGCTGAAATAAGTGAATTTTTTATTTTTTTCTCCAATTTTGTAATCAAATTTAGCGTTACCCATTCATTTTGATGTGTACTTTCATCGTGTGAAAAATTTTCATGATCTATAAAGCCAATTCGGAGAAAATGGTTAACTGTAATTGTCGGTAATTTCCGTTGCTTTAGGATCCCCTTAAGGGGATGTTATTTTCGAATTATTAGAGTTGTGTTTTAAGACTGATTGTAGTTCGGCGTGCGCAATTTGGTGGGGGACTTAAAGTGGGTAAGCTGGGGGGAGAGTGATTATATATATTACATAAATATTGCGAAGAGTATTACTACGTTGACTCGCTATCAGATGTTTCTTGATATTCGCGAAATTCTCGAAATTGTTGAAATATACATATATTGCTTTATGTAGAGTCTTGATTTAATAATTTACACCGGCGTCTAAGGTAGGCTTCCACTACGTTACCTTACTGATGAGTCTAGTAGTGGAGACTGGGACGAAACGCCGACTTGTGATATTCTTCGCAATATACCAAAAAAATTAATGTAAAAAAAAAAAATTAATTAATTTTAAAAAATTCGGTTGCGATTGTTGAGGACTCTGTGAAGTCGAAACTTTTCCGTATATACCGATGTAATTATTAATAATAAATTTATATGCAGGGTGGGCCATTTTAATCTCCCCACCTGAATTTCTCGTAATCTAAGCCATATAGAGAAAAATGGTCCAGACAAAAGTAGAAGAGGACAGAGGGGGTCACCTAATGATACCAAGGACCTTGACCTTGAACTCGATTTTCAAGGTTATTTCAAGGTCAAAGTGATTTTTTTAAATGGGAACATCTATTTTTGACCCCGGATTTGAAAAGAGCGGGAAATTTTACGTTCAAAATGATATGTATATCAAGGTCATGGCAAGGTCGAATGAAGGTCAAGTTTGCGAATTTTGATTTTCCAATTGAATATACCGGAACCAGACAAATGTTAAAGGGGGCCGAGGGCGTCACCTATCTGTACTTTGACCTTGACCTTGAACTCGATTTTCAAGGTTATTTCAAGGTCATAGTGATTTTTCGAAATGGGAATCACTATTTTCGAGGATTTTTTTAACTGTATTAACCTTACTTTTAGCGCTACCCAGAAACAACGACGTGGACGTAGTAAGTACTGTTTCCTTTGGGGTGCTGGATTAAAGTGAGTCCCCTCGCCTTTCACTATTCGGGGTGCTGGATTAAAGTGAGTCCCCTCGCCTCTCACTATTCGGGGTGCTAGATTAATGTGAGTCCCCTCGCCTCTACTATTCGGGATGCTGTATTAAAGTGAGTCCCCTAGCCTTTCACTATTTTAAAAATTATTAACTTAACTTTGAGCATGCGCTGCAATTCCAAGGCAAATTCTCCTTAACACCGTACGCCATTTCAAAAGACGTTTGATTTTATGTTTTCAAGCAAATGGAGGCAACTTCGAACATTTATATCAAAGTTAAGTTAATAATTTTTAAAATAGTTAGAGGCGAGGGGATTCACTTTAATCCAGCACCCCAAAGGAAACAGTACTTACTACGTCCACGTCATTGTTTCTGGGTAGCGTTAAAAGTAAGGTTAATACAGTTAAAGAAACCCTCGAAAATAGTGATTCTCATTTCGAAATATCACTATGACCTTGAAATAACCTTGAAAATCGAATTCAAGGTCAAGATCAGAGTACAGATAGATGACCCCCTCGGCCCCCTTTAACATTTGTCTGGTTCTGGTATATTCAATTGGGAAATCAAAATTCGCAAACTTGACCTTCATTCAACCTTGCCATGACCTTGATAAACATATCATTTTGAAAGTAAAATTTCCCGCTCTTTTCAAATCCGGGGTCAAAAATAGGTGTTCCCATTTACAAAAATCACTTTGCCCTTGAAATAAACTTGAAAATCGAGTTCAAGGTCAAGGTCCTTGGTACCATTAGGTCACCCCTTCTGTCCCCTTCTACTTTTGTCTGGACCATTTTTCTCTATATGGCTTAGATTACGAGAAATTCAGATGGGGAGATTAAAATGGACCACCTTGTATGTATAATAAGTAAAGCATTACAATTTGCAGATTACAATTTTCTAGAAAATAACTGCGATATGTTATGCTTAGTGCACAAAATATAAAAGTCGTTTAATGTATAACGATGCATCCCCCATCGTTCCGGCACACGCCACTCAGCCGAACGCCGCTGCATTACTATGCAATGCAGTGATGAGGGCGCATAACGCCCGATAAAACCGAAAACATAATTCACAGGTACGAGCGGCAGTAACAGCCGCGTAACGCCGAGCACTGCCGAGCGAGGCCGAAAGAGATCGACCGCCGCGGACTCCCATTTCTTGGGACTTAGTCCCGCTCACTGCGAAGCGCAGACAGCGAGAAAACACGAGCAAAACCGAAGGTCCACGAACGCGGCATTTTGGTGATATAAAAATGCCGCGTTACGCATAAACGGGTGATTCCTGTTCCGACCAGATCCTAGCAACGAATCCGATTTCCTAGAGCCGTAACGATACCAGGAAAAACGGGCCGGAGAGTGCTCCAGCTCCGCCGAGAGTTCTCGGCAGGTACCGACAAGGCGTCCTATAGCACCGAACGGCAAGAACCGAGGGGCAGAGTGTGCTCTGCCTCTGCCGAGCGTTCTCGGCAGCCGTTTCGGTGCAACGCGCAACGACCAACGTCCGGGGGCGGAGAGTACACTGCCTCCGTCGAGCGTTCTCGACCGTTGGCCCGCGCCGACCGCTCCTTGCACTTCGCACTGCGATGGACCAGCATTCGTCCGGGGATGGAGGGTTCTCCAGTCTCCACCTCTGCCGAGAGTCCTCGGCCGCTGGTCATCGCCCGTCTGAATACAAATTCGCGAACACGCAATAGAGAACGAAAGCCGCGCGTTACGAATAATAGACTGCCGCATCGACAGTTCTAAAATTAGATCGTTCACAGCTGATCAGCCGCGCTAGCCGACACCGCGAGAAAAAGAGCACAGCGAGTCCGCTTTTTTTAGCCCGTCATAACACCGCCGCGAGCAACACACATCACAGTCGCTCTCACT